AACATCATGGTCAATCAACTGGTAGAACTTGTTGATCAAGCCAGTCTTTTGTTGTCGCTGAAAGTCAATTTATCGTCAGAAATAATTTATAGAGACGACATRTCGTCGTAATAACTTSTTGCTGAAACACGTCGTCGTTAAAGGTGTGTCGCTGAAACTCACTTTTCTATTACCAAAGAGTTCAAATCGTCAGTTATCTATCAATCTTGAAGAACAAAACCATGTGTCACATAATCTAAGAGTTTTTAAGAATTTTGAAATGAAAGATTGAATACTTTCATAATTTCCCTTTCCTTTCTTTTCTGCTCGAAAACACAACGTAAGGTTTCGAGATATCTCCRATAATGACACGGAGGTCGAGCTTACAATACGGGATTTGAAAATGGCGGACAGGTTTGATCAATGGAGTTGGCCATCGCTATATTTAGCGCTCAAATGGCGGTTAATTCATTGATCCAAATATTTTTGGAAATTTGGTACCAATTCATGGATTCTTCCTCAATTTCCAAATACCCTGCACATTAGCGGTAATTTTTTCTCWCTTTCATATTCATCTCTCTAGAAATCAATCTCTTCGAAACCCTAATAAAAAATGGATCAGAGGAAGATGGGATCTTCCAGCGCCACCAAATCGTATGTTTTGCCAAGCTTCTCCAGTGGACCAGCGATGGATGCCTTGAAGCGTAATAAGAGCACCGGTGAGGCTACTGATCCCCAAATTTCCAATTTACTAATCTCTGAATCATTGCATTTCCTTAATTCAATTTTGATTTGAGGTTTTGGATTTTGGTAATGTAGGTTCGTCAATGGTGGGAAGAGACAGACATAAGGGTGCGCTTGTTGTGTGTTTTGGGGAACTTTTGATCGATTTCGTGCCCACGGTGGCTGGAGTTTCACTGGCGGAGGCGGAGGGATTCAAGAAAGCTCCCGGTGGTGCTCCTGCTAATGTYGCGGTTGGCATCTCGAGATTGGGAGGATCTGCAGCTTTTGTTGGGAAGGTTCATTTGATTCTATGTTGGTTAATTTTTTATTGTGATTTATGGTGGCAAGTCCAAATCTTTTAACGATGGTCGTAAGAAAGGTAGAGGATAGGTTTTTATGGAAACAGACGTTCTACTTTTTGGGTAGAGGATAGATCTGCGCATATCCCAAAAATAGATTGTGAAACAGACTAATCGAACGCCAGTCTCATTTGTTTCGGTTCTTGTCACTAGGTTGGAGATGATGAGTTCGGTCACATGTTGGCTAACATCCTCAAGGAAAACGACGTTGATAATTCAGGAATGAGGTTTGACAATCACGCAAGAACCGCACTTGCTTTTGTTACCCTAAGATCCGATGGAGAGCGCCAATTCATGTTCTATCGTCATCCCAGCGCTGATATGCTTCTTACCGAAGCAGATCTTGATCAAGATTTGATCAAAAAGGTATTTTTCTTATACCCTTTTCGACAAAAAATGGATGATATGCACATTCGATRGTTTCCCATTAATTTAACTCTAAGTTTGTGTTTGTTTGCTGTTGTTTGATCGACCAGGCAGCAATTTTTCACTACGGATCTATCAGTTTGATCGAAGAACCGTGTAGATCAGCTCATCTCGCTGCAATGCAAATTGCCAAAAAGGGAGGCAGCATTCTTTCTTATGATCCCAATCTGMGACTCGCTCTCTGGCCCTCGCCTGAGGCTGCTCGAAAAGGCATCATGAGCATCTGGGATCAAGCCGATCTTATTAAGGTACAACATCTCATTGTAGGTTGCACCGAAACAAAATCGGCTTTATAGGAATATGTCCAAATATGCTAGTAGTCTGCTTTATAGAACTTAATATTATAAAACCAATCAATCATGCGTCCTATATAATGGTGTTAGAATAAGATTTTTTWGGACGTGTTTGATAAGTGCRTTACGAACGTATCTTTTATAGGACATTTGTTTTTACAAGACACTTTTTCAAGTAATGTCATATTAACATCTATAAATACGATGCACGATTGTTTGGTCCAATAAACATAAGTCTTATAAAACAGTCTATAAGGACATTTAGACATATTTGGCGACTTMTAAAACCGATTTTGTTGTAGTGTTCGACTGTTTTCGACCTAATGCTTCAATGGGATTTTTGGGAAATGCAGATTAGTGAGGAAGAAATTGAGTTCTTGACCGGAGGCGATAACCCCTATGATGACAATGTTGTCTTGACCAAGCTTTTCCTCCCGAATCTTAAGCTGTTGATAGTCACCGAAGGTCCTGATGGCTGCAGATACTACACCAAGGTTAGCTTCATCTCCAAAAACCATCAAATTTGGTCAATTGTGTAACATCCCATGACAACTGTACCTRATATTKTCCGCTTTGTCCAYACCTGGACTCATGGTTTTAAAATGCGTGTCATRTGGGAGGTATCYRATCCCTTATAAGGCAACATTTGATYGATGTGGGATTTCACAGATTAACGCGATTTTGCATTTATGGGTCCTCTTGGTTGAATAATTTATATGAAGTTGAATAACTTTTTGCAGGATTTTCATGGCAAAGTTGGTGGTGTTAAGGTGAAATGTGTWGATACAACTGGTGCTGGTGATGCTTTTGTTGGAGGWTTTCTCTGCTCTTTGGCTTCAAATCTTCAATTGTTAAAGGTAAACTTAACTACAAGCTTTCCCTCCATTTATTCGATCGTATTTCACATAATTTTCATCCTCATATCGATCGGTTTTAGGATGAGAAGAAGCTGCGGGAAGCGCTAAAGTTTGGTAACATTTGTGGTGCCCTCACGGTGACTTCGAGAGGTGCAATTCCATCCTTGCCTACAAAGGAAGCCGTTTTGAAGAAGTGGAAGGAGATCGAACCCTGAACATTTCGTACCAATTTGGTCCATCGTGTTCAAAAGAAACGAAAGAACTATGATCCCAATAACAACATTTTTCTTGTCTATGTTTGTACATTGCACTAGAATCACAATCTTTCAGTTTCTATTTCTTCGTATCGTGTCGTGTTGCATATAATTTTTGTATTTTTCTTCTTGTATTCAATGACCGTTTTGTTGTTCGCCCAGTTTTCATATCGATTTTGTGTAAGAGTAAAATGTTTGGTTACGATGTTAGAATTWATCGTTCACAAATCACAAGTAAATTATAATATAAGTCCYACAAAACATTCTRTTAGGACTTTTAGACATTTTAAACGTAGTATCGACCCAATTTTGTYGTAGTGAYGGAAAATGTTYATTTARAATTACGATCAAGAAACAAAAAACGCTACRAGTTATAATACAAAAAACCGTTAACGGGGTTAAAAGGATTGTATTTTTCCGGAAATCCACAAAAAGATGCAACCAACCAGGACGACGATGTTCATRTATATGTACATTAGATTAGGATCAACTCTAAATGAACAACAWCTTGCAGCAAATCAACAACATAACATATATATTTTTAGTACGCACACAAATCGGAAGAGTTATAATAAATGGTGCGTAAATCATATCGATCATTTTGGCTTATTAAACCTGGTCCGTTTTTCGGGTAATCCAATGAATAATTCTGTTTCCACATCCGAACTCTCTCCACATTCCGTCATCTGTAAACTTGCTCGACCTTCTTCCATCTTTTCTTGAGGTCGGACYACACACTGGCGTGGAGATTCGAACGCGTTTACATCGTTTTCATTTTTCGTCAGTAATTTTATATATAGAACGATACGTATAACGATATGTATAACTGTTTACCGTACACGAAGAAAACACGACATAAATCTTGATAACAACTTACCTTTACATTCAGCATAGCATTTTGAGAAGCTAGAATTTTCTCCTGAAAATATGCGAAAATYTCATGGTTTAATGGATAAAAGGTGACATCACTTTGCAAGGGTTCGAAATCATCAAGATTGTACCTTTGCTTGTAGTTCCTCGAKCTGTTCATTGTAAACTTGCATCTGAAACACCAAAAGACTCCAAATAAATCAAAGATTTACGATTAGTCGATCCAATCAAATCAAAGTTTGTTCTTTAAAGTCAAATTCTTGTCATTTTTTTGGGTAAAAAAGTCAACCTTTCGAGCTCGAATGATGCATACACTCCTCTCCAGTTGCTGTTCGATCTGTTGTAGTTCGTCAATGGTGCTTGATCCCAGACCTTCTCCAGAAAGTTTCCTGTAATAAGATGTTACAATGGTTTTCTTGCAACATTAGAATTAATGATATTAGTTTCAGAAGTTGCAACAAAATCAAGTTTGAAGGACGTCAAAAGTGTTTTTTGGAAAGGCGTCCCAAGCTATGCTCGAACTAATYCCGGTAAATTGTGACTGTAAAACATCAACCCTGATAAACTCAGTGGCCTAGAATTGAACCAAGAGCAGGACAGATAGATATTCCACCACATCCTTGGGCGTCAACCACTATGCACGTCACAACCCTTGTGGTTGACACCAAAAGTGTTTAAGTCAACCACAAGGGTTAATTGTGACGTGCATAGTGGTTGACGCCCAAGGATGTGGTGGAATATCTATCTGTCCTGCTCTTGGTTCAATTCTAGACCATTGAGTTTATCAGGGTTGATGTTTTGAACCACAAGGGTAGTGCCAGTTGGTTTGAGATTGGGCTCCAAAGGTCAAAAGTGCCTGGAGGTCCCAGGTTCGAATCCAAGAAGGAATAAAAATCCACTTATGGTCACAGAGGTTCAAATGCAGTGACACTGGACTATCCTCGAAGCGGGTGGTCTTCCTGGGATTAGTTGGCTCGCATGACGGTTTAGATATCCAGGTTAATCCAAAAAAAAGTGTTTAAGTGTCCTAAAAAACTAATTTATATGACTCAAGTTTATAGGACCAAACATCTTATTTAAAAGTGTTGTAATAAATTTAATATATGTTTGTAGATGTCTTGACAAGTTAAGACATTTTTGAAATAAAGTGTCCTATATTAATCCTTTTATATATGACACTTTTTAAAAAATGTCTTATAAACATATATTTTTATAAAAGRCTTGTTCAAATAGTGTCCCATAATAGACACTTTCTTTCAAAAGTACCGTAAAAAAGCTTTTAAAGACGCCCAAAACATCATATAAACTTATTACAATACGTTTAGATAGGACATACAAGTATTTGGTCCYATAAACTTAAATYCGATCAAGTAGTCTAYTAGGACACTCGTACATTTTTKGKGTCCTATAAACCCGATTTTGTTGTAGCTAGTTAGTGAGTACATTTGTTGGTCATTCAGATTAAATTTACAGATTTAATTAGAACATGAAATCCGAACCTTTTTGCGAGTTCTAAGGCCTCTATCTTCTTTGCCATACTTGCAGTTTCATTCTTCAAATGCTGCCACTGATGCAAGATGAGGACTATAATTAAGCGATGCATCGCAAATCTTCGAAAWAATGTCAACATTTTAATTTTGTGATACACATAGCGAAAAAAGGGTTCGATCAGGGTTTTTTAAGAAGTAGTAATACGAAAAAATAGATATGATCATGAAGGAGAGGAATCGAACTTGAGCATCTTCAATACTCGAAGAATTTTCTGTTTGGATGTCTTTTACATGATTCGTATAACGTTGGATGGTCTCCTCCATGCTGAATAAATTCAAAAACGAACATTAGATGGAATAAATGACATTTCCTTTATAATTGTACGATGAAAAGTGTGTTTCTATCTCAAAATACACGAGTTCTCGATCTAAACAATGACATGATTTATTGAAGATCTAACAAGAAACCCGAAAAAASTGACAAAATTATCTGTAGGTGAAGGTCATATACTCATATCCGTTGTAGATGCATATCAATTTAGATAGACAAGTGTACCCTTATATATATACACAAATCTAAACTCAAACAAATAAAATTAAGAAAGAAGTTACAATTTATGATATAAACATTAATCTAATAAGTAACATAAATACACGTTAAAACGTGAATTATCATAAACTTACTCTTATCATTTCAGGTTTCTCTCTTTTGTGGTAAAATAACTCCGTATTATTTATTTTGTGTTTCAAAATTTGTAATTTATGGATTCATTTCAATTTTTTGCTAACGAGAATCCAAAATCACCTCTATCATATCTGTAAGATCCCACATTGGTTGGGAAAKGGAACAAAAGTTGCCTCATAAGGGACTTGATACCACGTTTTAAAACGTGAGTACAAGTGTGTGGACAAAGCGGACAATATCTGGTACAGTTGAATTGCAGTGTTGGCATGGGTGSATTGTAAGATCCCACAATAGTTAGGAAKGGGAACAAAAGTTGCCTTATAAGAAACTTAATACATACGGCTGGTCTGGAATGTTACAATATCTTAAAAAGCAGCTAATACGAATTTCACAAGCGATAGAAGCACATTTGCCAATTCCTTGCATATTAGGATTCTTGCTTTATCATTTCCTATTGTTCTAATTGTCGCTTRAAACTTTGTGACATTTTAACAACCGAACTTGTAACTGGTTTTACGATATATTGATTTTTATGTTAGCTCATGATCCACCTTGTATATTATTGATGTTTAAAATGAATTCTTACTTTATTCCTAAATATAACATATCAATCTTCTTATTTCATATTACTGCCCTAAAKTGTTGCTAAATACACGATCAATTTCGATAAACTAACGAGAAAGAGCATGTTGCCATGGCCTAATCATAAATTCTTATAGGTTAAATTGATCTTTTTTMGGCTTATATCATGAACCACCTAATAGTTGATTATCGAAATAGGTTCTTTAAGGAATACGATGAATCAATCTTATTTCCGATGGTATCATAAAAGATCATTGCCGCAAACTAACGATCTTGTAATTAATTCGTCACTATTTGTTATTACTAGGCCCAAATATCTGGCATATATGCCCATCTCGTTAGCTAGATACCGGTGGCGCCATACTCGAACCTATTTCTCAATATTACGTATTGTTTCTAAATCTTTCTTAGTAACATATTTGGATAAAAAGGRTATCGATCGCACGTACTATATATTACTTTACAATCATATCATCTAAGTAAATACCATATAGCTAGATTGAAACATGTTCATAAATCTATATCTATACATTAATTTTATGTGTATATATATATTACATAAAAATCAATCCAATCATACGGCTAAAAATACAATTAGAATAATTTCTGTTTTAAGATATTTAAATTAATTACAAATTATTTCTGTATTTGTCAAATTTCAAGCTACATTYAATTACTTGCTATTTATAATCATGTTGAAAATATTGGTTTTGCTGCAAAATACTTATGACAAATTAGAAGATATATTSGACATTTTAATTAATTAATCATGCATGTATTATGTATATATGTATTTAATTTCGTACACAAATAATTAATATAATATAATGTTGTACTGTGATCATAAATATATCTGGAAGTTGATTCTTTTTATGGCAAAAATCTGAAGAAAAAGCAAAAGCTGGTGACTTTCTGCATATGTAAAAAAGAAGTTGGAATATATGAAACAAACCACTTCGACWTGTAATCGGATTGAAACATGCCATTGCCAGGCATACACTATTTCTTGATCTTCAAGAATGTAACCRCGCCTAATATGTGAAATTTTATCCCACTTTTTTCATAATTTATCCAAGTAAAATGTGGGATTTGAAGTAAACAAGTCACAATCGGTGTAGATTTCAACTCAAATCCTTTGAAAACAGCATGTATTTATGACAGATAAACAAGATGGAGAGAAAGGTGAAGGTCTACTGCACTAAATTGATCTTCAAAAGACTATATATATATATATATATATATATTATATATATATATATATGTATGTATATATGTATGTATGTATATATGTATCCTTAAAGATCCCTATTGAATTCGTAACCCTAAAAGTTAAAAGAAAGAGAACAAAGCTTCAGATCTAGATGTGTAAGAGTGTGATTTCTTTGAGTGTTTATGTGTGTGTGTGTGAGAGAGAGTGATAAGAGAGAGGAAGGAGAAAGAAACCCTAAGATTAATCAATAACCTAAAACTAGAACACACAAAATTAAAAGGCATACATGTATATATGTATATGTATATGCATGAACCAAATAAAAAGGGAAAGAAATAACCCACAAKTTATATATGATCAATAAAGAACCAGAACCAGAACCAGAAACATATGGAGTGAAAGAAGATGAAACCTTGAGCTTGCAAATTCACAGAGCTTGCCTCTTGGAGAGAAGATAATCAAAGCAACTTGAGCATCACAAAGCACAGAAAGCTCAAAAGCTTTCTTCAATAAGCCATTTCTCCTTTTGGAGAAAGTCACTTGCCTACTTGTAGCATTCTCTATCCTCCTCATCTGGGTCTTTCCTCTCACCATCTTAATTAATCAGCTTTTCTTGAAACCGACCCTAATTATCATTCAAAGAACAACCCACAAACCATATGTCAAGATCTATCAGTAAACACATACCCTAGAACCAGAAGCTTAATCAATTACTGAAGCAAAACAAAAGCTTAATCACACTAGAGATGCAGTMATAGAGAGCAAAAAGAAAGGTGCAAACTTTGTTGCTAAATATGGCTATTCCTATGAGGAGATATGTCAAGAAGGAGAAAGAACTTACGAGAGAAGCAAAACCCCAGATTGGTGTCTTTCTAGAGAGAGAGAGAGAGAGTATCAGAACTAAGAGTGTGAGTGGGGGAAGAGTAATAGCCCTTAGAATGGCTATTTACATAGGTTTCTTGATTGCTTATTGTCTTCAATCCTTAATTAGATRCAAACTGAACTCGCCCAATTTAAGGCTAACCACCCTTTTTACACACGGAAATTTCAATAATAGTTTACGAATATCAATGCATTTCTTACAAATTCCATTACATGATGTACAAGCATGTAATACACCATAAGAAAAAGATACTGCCTTMCCCCTTTTATCTATAATGATGGATCCATGTCCTAATCATCCATGACATCATCTAATCTAATTTTAATTCTATGTATCATTTAAATTTTATGCGTTGAAACAAAACTCAAACTTCAAAACCACAAGGGTGATGCTTGATTGGTTTGAGTTTGGCTCTAAAGGTCAAAAGTATCTTGGAGGTCCAAGGTTCAAATCCAATGAGGAATAAAAATCCCCTTATGGCCACGGAGGTTCAAATGCGGTGACTCCGGGCTATCTGCAAAGCAAGTGGTCGTCCTGGGATTAGTCGGCTCGCATAACGAGTTGGATATTCAGGTTAATAAAAAAAAAATTAAACGTCAATGAAATAGGATAATAGTTTTTTTACTTTTTCAATAATTTTGACCGAGTTTAATTATGTACGAGGTTTTGCTAACTATATATGCACATAAATTTTATAGYGAAAATTTGAAATTCTTAATCACCAAGTTAATACGTCCTTTGTATTGCTTTATGTGTAGGACAACTTTGTATAATTGGGATCATAGTTTAAGTTAAATCATTTTTTTTCTTACCATGGATAAACACACATAAACATAGATCGTATTCATTTTCTTTATGAAATCTCTTGCWATATAATTAACACTGATCTGTATGCCGTTCGATCTTGATTTCACCTTTCTTAGCTATTAGCAACACCCTAGCTTGGCTTCCTTGTAAATTTGTGTTAGATTTACACCTATAAGATTAAAGTAATAACTCGTGTTTTATATTAGGAATATAACTTGCCAATCCATATTCATTATGCATATATAAGATAGCATAAACTTTAACCCTTTGGAGTAGCTCAAGTCATCATAAGACATCGTATCATTGGATTTGCTTAGGTATATAACCTCAAATGARATTTTAATTGAATCAATGACCTTCCAATGAGTAAAAACCAGATCTTTAATAGGTCCGACGGTCCCAGATTTAGTTAAAATCTCATTTTAAGATTATATAAATGACCCTTCCTAGTGGCCATCAGTTCGATCTCTCCTCAAGGTCATTGGAGRTTTTCGTGATTGTTAACTTTAGGGTATCATGGATTACTCGAGATGTGTGAAAGTTAACCTAAACACATACTGTATCCAAAAATAAAGATTACATACAAACTCAAAATTCTCATATATCTCATGTACTATCATCATAATAATAATTGTATTTTTCAAATAGAGAAATACAAAAGGGTTTTTTTTTTCAATTAAAAGTTGTCTCTCGTGTCTAGYTAAAGATAAATCAWTGGTTCTTTTATGTGTTGAATAATYAAATGGTTTRAATGAMCGAAATAGTTAATCATTTAATTTTACCTGTTCGATCTATTATCTAAAACTAATCCTCTTTAATCATAGATTCTAGACAAACTATGAATATCACATTACATAAAATTGAAACTGAAAATAAAAGAAATAAAACAAAAGAGGGGCATAAAGGAAGAAATGTGGCACAAAGGATAAAGATAGGGAAGGGGCCGAGTGATCGGTTTGATGGCTTAATCATTAAGTCGTAAAATAATAACAATATATATTGAACAAATAAGTCGAGGATACCATTCATTCCATTAAGACAAAACAAAGGCTAACATGAWCTCTTTATTTGACCTACAAGATTTTGTGTAGGCAATTTTTTCTGGTTTCGAAAATGCTAAATAGTTTTGTATGATGACTTGATTTTTGTTTTTTGTACATACGATACAAGTAACTAATAAAGACGTGAGATTTAAGTGATCATGGTTTTTTTTATTGTTTCTTGATTCTTGTTCTTGTATATACGATACATGATCTCTTGTTTCTTGATGGTATATACAGGTATCGATGATATTGACGATATTCTTGATATGGAGCTRGAAATACCAACTAGGTTAGTGAAAAATCTTGAAAGCAAGAGAAAGTATGAAAAAAGGAAAAGAAAATTATAAGTGTATTTCTGATGGTGGTTCATAAACTTGTAAACCGGTTCATAAATCTTTACATCATTTGGAGGAAGTAGTGCGTGCCAACATACCATAAGTATGAATTGGTTCATCAAAATTGTGCGACCTAATCCAATTGAATAATAGGAAATAATTAAAATACAGGTTATTGACCAGTTCATGATTCGAGGTAGAATGYTTATAAAATGTATTGAAAAGAGAAATTTGATATAATTGAGACATTAAACTCTGAAACAAGTTCGTGATTAGAGATGCTCTAAGTTGGTTGAAGSGAATGAATATGGATTTTGATTTCATATATATGTTATTTTCAACTTGTAAAAGTGATTTTTTTTGCACTGATACCAYAACTAAATGGGCATTTAAGGAAGTTTGACCATCATTGGGCACCCTATAAAACTATATAATGGTACTTTAAGGGTCGTTTGGTTCGCAGATTCTAAAAGAATCTGATAGAACTGGAATGTTGAATTTCATTGACTAAATTTCATTCCTTTGTTTGGTTCATTCTTTTTCACGAAAATAATCTTCACAATCCTACAAAATCCACAAATAAAGAAATTTAACATTCCTTACAATTACATAGTATTTTGATGTATCGAATTCTCTATTTTCATAATACCAAATATGCTCAAAAGCCTAATATATCCCAATCTCATAAAACCCAATATGGCCATCGTTGACCACCTCCGACCACCGTCAATTTGAACCACTGCCGACCATCGTCGATCTGAACCACCGTCGACCTTCGCCATCTGAACCACCGTCGACCACCACTTATCTGAACCACCGTCGACCACCATCAATCTGAACCATCGCTGATCTGAACCACCTTCCAACACTACCGATCTGAACCACCGCCAACCACTGCTGATCTGAACCACCACCGATCTGATCCACCGTCGATCTGAACCACCGCCAATCACCACCATGGACCAGGACCACCACGGATCTGAACCATTGTCGACCATCGCCATCTGAACCACCACCAACTACCATCGATTTGAACCAGTGCCAACTACTACCGATCTGAATCACCGTCGGCCATCTGAACCACTACCGACCATCGCCGATTTGAACAACCACCAATCTGATCCATCGCCGATCTGAACCACCGTCATTTGAACCACATCYRACCACCGYCAYYTGAACCACCAYGGACCACCACCGATCTAAACCAYTGCCGACCAYMGGCRACTACTACCGATCTGAATCACCGCYTACCACCAACGATTTAAACAACCACCGATATGAAYCAYTGCCGCCACCRCYGATCTGAACCACCGACCATCTGAACCATTGCTGACCACYTTCATCTGAACCACCGTGAATCACCATCGATCTGAACCATTGYCGACCACCACCATCTGAATYGYTGCGGACCACCACCGATCTGAACCACAACCGACCACCGTCGATTTAGTAAYGTCGTTTRGGTTATGGTTATATTTGGGTTGTGTATTTTATATTGTTTTACATATTAAATAATTATTTTATTAAAGTATTTTTAGCTTTAAAAAATTAAAATTTTCRAAAAAGGTCATTTTGGTCATTTATCAATATTTCATTCYAATTCCAAAGCTACATTMTGTGAACCAAACAGACATATTCCAATTTCTTAATATATTYCATTCCAATGTCTGTCAACCAAATAGATGGTCAAACCTGACAATATTTCATTCYAATTCCTTCAAARTCAAATAACTTTAACAGATTTCATTACATCCAAAAACATTATGCGACCCAAACACCACCTAAATTTATARCACCAATAGTTGTTTGTCATATATAATAGGGCAAAATGCATAAAATAGCAATCTACTTTCATAAATTTTTTTATTATAGTATTGTACTTTCAATTTTTCTTATTACAACAATTTACTTTCAAACTATTTTTTATTAAGACATTGTACTTTGAAAAATTGACCCATTATAGCATTGAGTAACCTTTTGATTTAAATTTACCCATTATACTAGATTTTCATGCTACCTCATTGTCCATGTAGGCTGTCCACATGTACTATAGTGATGTGACTTTCTTATTACATTATTGATCTTTCAAAATTATTTTATTATAGCATCTACTAGTTCTTATTAAACATTGTTTTTTTAATTTTAATATTTAAATATTTTACATGTTATTTAATAAATGTATTAAATGAATTAAAAAAATTATAAATTATTCATTAATATACCAATATCAATAAAACTAGTAGAACACAACTTATCTCGCTAATATTTTTAAAAAATATGTGTTTAAAAAAAATAAGAATTGTTCATTTTTAACCAAAAAATATTATCTTTTAAAAAATATATTATATTTGTTCAAAAACTTTTTACTTGACGTATAAATATATTAAATTAATTAGATTATTTTGAATAATTTATTAATATAACAATATTAAAAAATTGTAGATAACAATTTATTTCGTTAATATTTTTAAAGAGAACTTTAAAAGATATGTATTTATTTGAACAACATAAAATAAGAAAAGTTACTTTTTTTACAAACAAAATATATCTCGAAAATAATGTTTTATATTTATTTAATAAATATTTTACTCTAAGAATATTTAATTTGAATACAACTTAATAAGAAAAAGTAAAAAAAAAATGTTTTTTTAGATAGTAGCAATAAAAAATGAAAATCACTAATAATAATTTGAAATAGGTTTTTATTTTAATTTTAGTTAAGTCATCAAAATGATGTGTCATCCACATCACCTCATTAAAGCCACACAAGCAAAAAAAGTCAAAGGGTTAACCGTTTTAAAAGATAACAGGTTAGTCATTGCTATTATGGGTAGATTTTTTAAAGTACAATGCCTTAATAAAAAATAATTTGAAAGTATATTG